CTTGACACTAAATTGAAAAGCACTGTCAGATGTGACAGGACACGGGTGCGACTTCTCAGCGTGACTGCTACAGTGTAATTAAACATGGAACGAATGCATGCCATTAAAGCACCGAGAGGAGAAAGATAATGAGGCTGCTGCATCCTCGTTCCTCCTGCTCCTGCCAGTAGAGCGAGTCTCAAAAATGTGGGTGGATGTTGTCTTGCTCTCCAAACAGTGTGTGTTTGCGTTTCATGCGCTGCTTTCTCCATAACAATCTCTGCATGCTAATTACAACATTAAGCTGAGATAAAGACTGTTGCCTGACAATACAAACATAATCTTCTAGGAACATTCATCTCAATTTCTATACAACATTAGCCATCCCATACCAACTAACCAGGGAGGTCCTATGCTGTAAGAAGACTCCCATCAGACATATAAGATGTTTGTATGGGCGTCCGCACTGACTGAGTGATGTGAAGGTGTGAAGGCTTCTGCTTTAACCCCCACCGGCCTGGAAATAGAAACGGCTGGCAAATTATAGAGAGCAGGATCATGTGTTTATCAGCCTATTAAATTGTCATTAAAAAGCCGTCTCTTTGCTACGGTCCACACTCTTCCTGTCATATTGAGTTCAGTCCGACTTGACAACCAGCTACGTCAAAGCACTTTGAAAGCAGACTATGTTATTGAGAGGCTCTGCTTGGGGACACTGAAGCTCAAGAGTGTTACCTTCTACGATAAACAACTTAAGTGTGTCTGTACTGAGCTTTGGCAATGGAAAGTCAAGGGTGCCCATGCATCTCTGGGGGAATCTCAGTTTACATTAGGAATTTTGTGTTTTTGTGTGTTTTCATCTACTGGATATAGGGGTAATTTCATGTCTTTTTTTAAAATAAAAGTGCTTTGTTTTGCCACAAAGTGTTAGTTTTCCTACATTTGAGCTTTTAGTTGTACAAATCATCACATTAAAAATAACATGAAAATTGGATAAAATTTAGAGTGACGGAAAAAGTGTGAAGCACTTGAAAGCCCTTGAAAAGTGCTTGAATTTCACTCTCAAAAGGCTGTACGAGCCTTGAGATGAATAATGTAAAAGAAGAGGAAAGAAATTCTTCTATTTCTGCCACAATGCCATGGTTACAGTTAGTGTTACTACATTAAATCTATGGTGAATGTTGGGGATTTGTGTACTGAAACGCCTTCTATAACTTCGGTCATGGCACACCTGCTGGCAGTGCGAATGCAACCAGGAAAATGGGCCTAGGGGAACATTTAGCTCTCAGGGAACCACCCTGGTGGCTACTTCCTATAACTAAGTTCCTATAGCTAGGCTACCCATTGCGAAAGCCCCTAATGTTTCTCCTGGTTTCCACGTCAGCGCTGTTTGATCTGATATGTGTGGTTTATAACAGAATCCTGCTCCAAATTTGAATGCTTCCCAATAGATCTTGCTGCCATGTTATTAATGTTGCAGCAAATTTAAACGCTTTCAAAAATTCAAACAGTAAAATTGTGAAATATTATTACAATTTAAGATAAAAATTTTAAAATGTAATTTATTCCTGTGATTACAAAGCTGAATTATCAGAAGTCATTAGGCTATGATTACTTCAGTCTTCAGTGTCACATCTATCAGAATCATTCTAACATGCTGATTTTGTGCTCAAGAAATATTTTGTTGAAATGTTGAAAACACTTGTGCTTCTTAAAGAAGTGTTGAGTTGATGATTAGAAAGTTCAAAAGAAACATTTATTTTAAAATTTAAATATAAATATGTTGTACCATTTATAAATTTCTTTCTCAATTTATTGCATCCTTGCATCCACTGCATCCAGTGACTTCATTTGAACAGTAGTGTACTACAGTAATGAAATAATTTTGATAATTTGTCATTTTGATTTGTAATTAAATAATCTTGAGGCCCATTTCACAGTGGGCCCAGTCTCCCTGGTTGGGAACCACTGATTCAGAACTGATTCATTTATTTGATTTTTTTATTAGTATTAAGTATTAATTTAGCTTTGTTAACTATTGGAGATTTCCATTGCTTATTGTATTTCATACCACAGTGTCTCTTAACTTATGGCAGATAAGGGACAGCAAGGAAATGTAATTTCCTCTCAAATAAGTATGTTACTAAAAAGGGAAAACTGTTTCATGCAAGTTTCATGACTTCCAGAAGTAAATCCTGGCATCCTGAAGCTGGATGCTGGATGACTGTTGTTTTTTGCATTTCATAGCTGTACTTCGTATTTTTGTAAAAGGCAGTGACTGTCATTGTAATGTTCTCTTCTCCCACCCAACAACAGCTTTTTGAGTAATTGGCTGGGCAAGCAGGACCAGTCCATTGCAAACAGTGTGGGTTGTCCCTGTAAATCTCACTCTCTGAATGTTTTTCCGATATTGTGAGGAAATACAGAAGTGTAATGCATTTACGAGGCTATATTGTGGACACAGATTATACTGCTTTAAATGTCATGCGTGGCCATAGTCAGAGTTTATATGAGGTGAGGTTGTGGTGGACATCCTGGAGACTCGTTCTCTGTTGTTACTCTGCTGAGACACAGAGAAGACAAGGCTTTAATGAGGCCTGCTGTGAGAGAAAGAAAAAATGGTAGAAAAACAAAAGGGCCAGAAGGAGTGAGAAATAAATTCAAAGGAATAAAACGAATTGGAGAATAAAGGAGCGTATTGCTTTGGTCGTGGAGAACAAATTTGGTTGAGACATGCTAATAATGAGCTCAAGTATATAAAAAAAAAAAATTCTCCAGTCCAGCCTCATAATGACTCATCTGTTCATTAATTATCATTAAAGAGAGGGAGAGTGAGCAATAGAGACATAAAATTATTATTTATGTCACTCCAAATCCATGATGTAATTTTTCTATGGACTGAAGGAGAAATTTTGAAAACTTTTACCTGTTAAAGGGATGGACTAAATGTTTGTGTAAAAAAAGTACTTTAGTACAGTTAAGTTTACAAGATTTTAGTAGCTCATAGAAGCAGGAAGTTTGTTGTTGGCTAGTGTTGGTCTCCAATAATAGACTTTAAAAAATCTGTCATCAGAGCAATAAGGGAAAGTTAGTTCCTTTCCTCGGGAATGATTCAGTATTAAACCTATGCTATAAGTACAACTGTTCAATTATGGAATCTGTGTATTTGAACAGCTCTGTCTTGAGTAAACACACTTTATAGGGAAGAGAGGCAGAGCGCGGTGTGTTGTCAAAGAAAGCTAATAGAGTGTCTGTGTACTTTCATCACAAGCTCTTTAACAGCTTCCAGTGATGTGGCCCCTTTGAAGATGGCTTAAGAACTAAATTTAATAACACAGGAGACTTAAAATGCCTGAAGCTTAGTTTTTTTTTTTATAACCGCATACCAGCATTAGGCATTACTGCACTACATTTTATTTTTCGGTTCGTATTTGTTTGATAGTTTGTGGTTTACTGCTGGCTGACTCTTATATGCATTTTGTAGTTTTCAACATTTTCATGTGGATTATATGTACCAAAGAGAAGTTAAAAGGGTAACATGCTCATTAACTAATAAAGAGAGATGTTAAACAGATTAAGCAAGAACAATTAAATGTGATGGTAACATTTAATTATGATCGCTTTTAACCACCATTAAAGATACTGCCTTAATTGTGCTGTCAAAACTGTACATCAATCTTTTTCTTTTGTGACCTCTTCAGTGATAAAACAATTATTCCAATTAACTGTTTGTTGTTGTTGTTGTTACTGTTTTGTCTTACAAAATACTCTGGGGCAGATGTACTAACGCTTTTGCGCCCACTTCAGGCGTATTTGTTTCACAAAGTGAACACCATAAACCATAAAACCATGGCGAGGTATGTACGAACGGGACGCACCGAGATGAAAGCGCAGACTGCCTGTCGCGGGAACTGAAAATGGCAAAATGCGCTTTTCGTGTCATGCATATTCATTCATGGGATGGTCAAGGGGAAAGTGGGAGTGTCACATAAAGAGATGGGATGGGAAGCGTAAACTGCGCGTAATTATGTATTCTGCGTTATGTACAGAAAAAGCCGGTGAAAGCGCGCCTCTATTTTGCGCTGAAAATTCTCCGCCTCTTAAAAGCAGGTGTAACTTAGGAAGTGGGTTTCCTGGCATATGCCCCCTGTTGAAATGGCAGCAGTAATCCGAGCAAGACGAAGACATAGGCTAAGGAGACGAGCTGAAAAGATTTTTGCCACAAGAATCACACTTTTTCAGTTGAGTGAAAACGAAATCATTAAGCGTTACAGATTACGCAGCTACACAATATTACAGTTACTGGAAGAAATCAAAGATGACATAGAATCTCCGACTCAGCGTTCAAGTTCCATTCCAGCAGTTGTTAAACTCCTCGCTACATTACAATTATTGGCATCAGGATCATTTCAAACAGTCACAGCATCAGCAGTGAGAGGAGGAGGCCCATTCAATTGCGCGTTTAAATACGCGCAATGTACAGTATAGTGGGTGGGGACAGGCGCTGATTACCTGATGAACTGCAGGTTTGGTACATAACAAGCACACTGTCGACTTCACATCAAGCGCTTTCTGCGTCTTGGCCATGTCGCTATTAACGCTGCGTTCGCAAATGTACGTACATCTGGCCCTCAGTTTCCCAAAAAATTGGATTCGATTCCCAAGGAATGCATGAATTGAAAAAATGTATAGCTTGAATGGAATGTAAGTCGCTGTGGATAAAAGTATCTGCCAAATGCATAAATGTAAATATAATTTTATAAAATATAATAAAATGTAATATACTTCACCCTGAAGCAGAAACAACCTTCTAGCATTCCCCTTGTGTTCTCTGAAGAAGAGCAACATGTATGTGGTTGTAGACTACTTGCATAGAGGCCGTTAGTTCAGTGTTGTTTATAGCTTACGCAGTCAGCCCAAACATGCGGCAGCATATAGGTCTCATAGACTTTCTGCATTTCGATTGATCTAAATAAGTGCCTTCTTTCTCCCCTAACCCACTTCTGTCTTTTTACTCACAGGTGGCTTTCACATTGGACTCTTAAACATCTGATTCAGGCCGGTAAAGCAAGATAAAGAAAGAGAGGGTTGAACATCTGCTGAACACATCAGCGGAAGGCTGTCACCAGGTGGGCTGTATGCTGTGGCTTTGGAGAGGAACTCAGAGGACTTCTTCATGCCCACAGGCCTCGGCTGTTCACAGGGGGGATGATCTGGAGCACTGCACACAGGCCTATCATTAGGCCATTGGGGCCCATGCTAAGGAATGGATAGTTTTGCCACTAAATATTATAGTGCAACTTCCCTTTAACTATGGGGCACCGGTGAATGATTGGTATGGAAATCTTTTTTTTCCTTGGAATCAGCTCAAGCAGCAGTTAAGGCTAAGCAAAGCACATTTTATTTGCTTTTTAGGATTGATGTACTTTGACATTTTTATATAAATGTGTCTTCATAGCATTTTTTTTTTTTTAGTTGGCTAGCATTATATCATCACATAACAGACTTTAAGATTTATGAATAAACAAAGACCATGGCGGCTACCTATCGCATAGTCGTCAGTAGCATAAACTGTTACAACAGCGTTGTAATAGACCGTCGTGTCCAACACACTGTACACTACTGTAATGGACCCTGTGGTGCACTAAAACATGGACTGAACTGCACAGTGGCTCACCGCAGCACTTGTGCTGAAGTTCTTGATACCCCCATATCCAGAAACTGTTCTGACCAGCCCATCTCTATTCTTGAGTCTAAAACATTGGAGAACGGCAACACCGTGTCTGGGGCCTTCTGTGACGACTACCACCAGGTCGTCCCCAGAGTCAAGAAAGGATCTGCCATCCAAAGCTCAGCAAGCCTCAAGGATATTACAGGGGAAGCCATTAACCTGGCCAGCGGGAAAATCAAGGAATTTTCATTTGAAAAGATTAAGTACTCCGCCAGTCATGTGACTTTCAGAAAGGGCCGTAAGGTTCGGCCAGACTCCTTCAGCAGGAGATCCACTGATCTAGACATAATCTATGGCCAGTTCACAGGCAATGATGAGAACTGTCCTCCATTTGGCCTGTTTCAGAAATCTGTACTCGAAGAGCATAAGCTGAGTCGCAGCGCATCCCTGGAGCAGAACCTAAACAATGTAGCCACGCTCTACCTGAATAGCCTCACAGAGGAGAACCTAATTACCCGCATACTTGAGAAGACCAAGGCTGACAGCAGTGCATCAGGAGAAGACATTAAAGCCTGTCTGGACATTCTCCTCAAGTGCTCTGAAGATCTGAAGAAGTGCACGGACATCATCAAACAGTGCATCAAAAGAAAGTCAATGGGGGGAAGCAGCGATGACTCTGGGAATCCTGAAGCCATTTATAAAAATGTGATGGCTCGTCTTTCCAACTATTTGAAGAGGCTTCCTCTTGAGCTGGAACAGGGGCAAACTGTGAGGCAGGAGCACAGTGAGCTTGCCGAACTAGTTAACAGTATACACGGGCTGCAACAAATCCCCTTCTCCCCTATTTTTGGCAATGAGCAACCTCCGCGATACGAGGACGTTGTTCAGTCTCCTCCGCCCACGAAGCCTCGGACTAAACCCTCCCAGTCTGAACCTCCAGATAGCTCTAGGGATCTTGTATGCAACGTGAAAGCCATTCAGAGCCTCCCTGGTTTATCAGCACGTACACCTTCATCAACTAATGGGTTCCCACATGGCAGTCTAACTTCAGCTTCCAGTAGCGGTTCAACACCTTTCAACTGCCACCACACGGTTTCAACCAGCCGACCGGACACATTCTCTTCCACAAACTCTCTTTTGTCTAGCAGTAGCGAAAGTCTCTGTAAGGATGCCATGGAGGCTCTGTATATCGAGGAGGAGGATTCAGATGTGGGAAGGATGCCTGACAGGGCAGTTAAAGGGGATGGGAAGCACAGCTGTAGTCTTTCAGAGCCCAGACCTTACTCCAAAAGAACCACTGGCTACTCTGAGCTTAGTGGTGGTGTTTCAGATAAACTCCATGAGCTTAGCAGAAACGGAACTGTGTTCAAGCCTAAAAACGACTCAACTGTCAACCAGATGTACTTGCCAAAAAGCACAGATTCCAGACTGTTCTCAAGGTCAATCTCACACATTAATAAAGGGGGAGGTGATGACATTGATAAACTTTTGATGGACCTGGAGTGTCTTTCCCAGAACATGCAAAAGGAGCCTCCACTGCCCCCTAAACTTAAAAACTGTGCCCAGCAGACAGGTTCCCCCCAGCATTTAATTGGTAACTCAGTGGCTAAAGATCTACCCGTGGTGTGTTTGTCTAGACCCTCGGTGGTCAAGCCACCCGAGCCAGGGGTTGAGGCCGCTGAGGAGGACGATGGAGCTCTGCTGCTCAGGATTCTTGAGAGCATTGAGAGCTTTGCTCAGGAGCTGGTGGAGAGTGGAGCTGGGAGAGGAACTCAGTCTAAGGAACGAGAGGTCATGCGTCTTCTCCAGGACACGCTGGCCAGCACTAAAGCAGAGGTGGCTCCGCTTCCACTTCCTGTGCCTTCGTCTGAGACTGCACCTACACCTCCACCTACACCAACACCCTCAAGTGCACCTGCTGCCATACTAACACCTGTTTCTACTGTGAGGGACACAGGCTCAACACTTCTCATTCAACAGACGCCCGAAGTCATCAGGGTGAGTTCAGCTAAACTAGGTCTGTCTGTGTAAGGTTTTCGTAAGTTGACATACCTGTAGCTCTTGCCGAATCTATGCAGTGTGCCATTTAAAAAAATAAAAGTGGCGAAGTGTTAAAAATGAAAGAAATAACAGTAATAACTTAAATTTTCATGTTTCAATTTTTATGTACCTTTGATGTTGCCTGCTTGAGCATCAATGGGTGTTTGCAGACTTTGTGATTGTGTGCATGAGTCTTTCCATTGTCCAAAGCTGGATTACAACATCATTGAGATACTTTGGGGATGAAGTCAAATGCAGAGCATAGGACTTTCAGTAAGCAGCTTCAAGGCAAACCAGAGACTCATACATAAATATAACAAACTACTACAAACAGTCTGATACAAAGGAGGCAAAACATAATATTATAATATTAAGAACCAATGGCATGTATAGTTGTACAGGATAATTTTAGTAAATTCAGTTATTTTGTCTTGTAGAAGATATAAAAATATCTTTCAGATTCTCCAAGAAGTATTTATTAATAACCAGCGACTTATACACAGCGACTTATATATTATATACCAGCGTATTATATACAGACAGAATGGAGGTGGAAAATCCATTTTACCATTAGCTGAAGCACAAAATTATAGCCTTCATAAACAGTAACCATTAAATCAAATTTCCTCTCTGAAATACTGTGGCATGTGCATGAACTGGGAAAAGGCTTTCTTTAGGGGAAGTGAAATTTATCATGAATATAAGCAGTGAAGGGTTTACCATTTTTGTATTTTACAAGTCCATATTTTTCACTGCTAACTGATCTTTTGGTTTAATTTCAAATAGTTGCAATTTAGTCAGTTGATAATGTTTTTTATTGTAATTTACTTGATGATTTTCATTTAAAACCATTGTAATTTCCCAGGTTGATTTTTGTTAAAAGTATCTAATAGCCTTAACATCTTACGGTTACCCATGAGAAATATAGCGGGTTGCATAAAAGCTTGTTGCAGTTAACGGTGGGGTCAGTATCATGTGTCTTTTGGAGCTGGCTGTCACCTTTAGTCTTTTTTATCTGCACATCCATCATGCTGGGGAGAAGAAAGCACAGTTTGTTATACTCTAGTTCAGGGTTCTTGGGTGAGACTCTGGCACGTACTGGACGTACTTGTTTATATGTCAATTGTTATCACAATTTTGAAATGTGTAAAAAGGTCTGAAAGCTGCATAGATGGGCACAACAACTCTCAATTCTCCCCCAAAAAAACTAAGGCATCATCTAATGCAAGTCTCGAGAAATGTGTTTTAGTGTTTCATGACCCATTTATTACTAACTCTCAGCTCTCTGACGTGTTTTCAAGCTGTTTATGTCCTGTGTCAGTTGTCCAAGCACATTTAACCCTCGCTCTTTATGTGTCCTGTGTTCTACCTCTCTCCCACCCTTTTTATATTTTCTGTCACTGTTAAATCCTCTCTTGTTTATTTTCCTGGCTTTGTAAACCAATACCAGCTCAGGTTCTATCTCGGGCCTGCTATTTATGACGTTGCCATGACATCTGTCAAGAGTGGAACCCCCTTAATAATGGGGCTCCTCCTCCAAATCTATTTATGTACTTGCTCAGCACATAACTAAGAACCCTTTAGGTTGGATGAGTCGCATACTTGTGCACGAACACACACGTACACACCCCTAAAAATGCCCTGATGGCTGATTATTTAGGTTTTGTAGACATGTCAGATAAATTAGCACATTTATGCTTCCCCAAGATGCCAAAAACTAGAGGTTTTATCTCGAACAAGGTTGAATTAGTTCACGTTTAAAGTATGCAAGTCATCCTTTGAACATTAGCGTCATTTTAAAGAAACGAGTGTGAGACGTTAAGTTAGAAAGTTGTTTTCATAAAATGCACGTCCCCTAGTAACTGTCTCTCATTGGTCCACATGTTATTTTGGGATTGAGTTGTGATGCTGTAGCCATGCAGTTGGTGTGGAGGACACACAGTCCTTTTTCGATAGCGCTGGTAGTTCATAGCAAGAGCAGGCAGCAGGGGTTTTGGCACAGACACTGTTAATGGTGTTGATTTGCCCAGGGCACTTCTCCTCCTCCTTGTCATCCACAGACAAAGGTGTCAGGAAGACTAAATCAGCTTTCTCCCCGCCTACTATTTCATTCCGCTAAGAGACTGGCTGTCGCCAGAAGGAAAACGGACCCAGTGTTGCCGTGGGGGTCACGGCTAAGTTTGGGAATAGCTTTCTGCTCACCCGATCACCTCTCTGGCACCCGAGGGAGCAATAAAAATAAGAGCGCTACGCCAGGAGCCCTGCCCACTGCCCCATTTAAACACAAAGCTGCCAATCACGGAGATCAACAAGGCTGCGGAAACATTAGACCCATGCGTTCTCCCTCTGAGCAGTTGTGTCATACCTGTTTGCTGTTTACGATGGGAATCTAGGGTCTTGTTTTTAACACGGTGCACCTGCAGTGCTTTTCTCGTTTCATCTCATTTAGTTCCTGCATGTGTCATCACGAACACAAAAGCACTGAATGGATCAAGATGTGGCCCATCTGTCAGCATCTCAGCATCTAGGGAACCAGCTCCAGATCTAACAGTTGCTGTTGTGCATTGCTACAGGACCTGAGTGTGGTCTTTTTGTTTGTGTGTCTTTTTCCGTCTCATGACTCATTGCTAGACCAAACAACAGGTGAGGCTGAAAGTGGACGCTCAACGGGTTTGGGCCTCCTTGCCTCTGTCTCAGAGCTGACAGGGTAATCTGTTGATCCGGATGCTGGGGCTAGTACTTCTCTCTTGAGATTGCTTATTTACTGCTTCCCTGTGTTTCTTGGTTTCACATGTGCATGTGTACTAAATACTTCATGTAGTATTGTGAAGATAATTAAAATGAGTTTTCAATGGCTTATGAAATGAGTCGTGGCCACTAGCATTTATTTGCACAAACTTATGTTGTGTTTAGTGACCATAAGCCATTAAGAATTATGCAAATCAGGAAACATTCTGTGATTTAAAAAAAAAAGGTATGATTTATATATTGTTTTGTATCTATTTCTTTACATTTAGGTTAATCTCTAAGGTAAAATAGAGTATATTTCACTATATAGTGTATATATATATATATATATATATATATATATATATATATATATTATACTGTATATTATACTGTATATTATACTGATCTTAAAATTAAAGTGAATTTCTTCCTGTTAAACATTTTTCATTCTATACATTATAATGTTGTGCTTCCAACTTGTTGCATTTGAAATGGTTGATTTTTAGTTTGTAGTGTTTTAGTTTTATTAAGACAAAATAATGATCAGCATCAGGCATGGTTGTGTGACAATAACAAGGAATGAATTGAAATATTCACGGTGCAGTGCTATTACTGCACAATTAGTTTAACCTAATCGCATTTGGTGTGCAGGTTTTTGAAAAAGTGGTGCAACTGTTTAGTGCATTCACCCCTCAGATTTGAGGCCTGCATGTAAACCTTCCTTCTGTAAGCCTAGAGACAGCTCTCTCCATGTTGGACTGGGGACCTTCCCCTGTTGGTTTGACTGCATGGTGCAGACAAGGCAATATGTCCTTCACTGCACCTGTCAGGAAGTGCTGTTAATCTCCATGGTGACAGGGAACACCCTGCTTGGCAATAAGAGTGTTACAGTCAATATAAATCAGGAGGATCTCTTCCAGGGGCTCAGGCCAACTAGTCATGCTTAGAGCCACAGACACACCACATTGGGTCACCACTGGCCAGGCCGCATTTGAGAGCGAGTCGACATGACGCCTCTGTTATATGAAGTGAAGAGAAACTACAGAGTGCCCTCGTGTTTTACTGGAGTTTAGCATTTAGAATGTGTGTGAGAGTGTGTGAGTAAGGTTAATCCAGGCATCACCGAAACATTGTTCTGAAGCGTTTATTTATTTATTTATTTATTTATTTATATAGCTACTATTGTAGTATTTATTACTATTTTACATTAGCTTTTGTTTTTATATTTTCAGTTTTTTAGGGAAGTTTTAGTAATTTTGAGTTTTTGTCATTTATTTTATTTTAGTTTTAGTCATTTTTGTGTACTTTGTTAGTTTGTAAGTTTGTCACACACACACACACACACACACACACACACACACACACACACACACGCATTGATTATCTCACTTTATACCCCGCTTTTTGAGCAACCTGATTCCTGTGAGGTTCTGGTTATGTTCAGATGTCTTTGGCAGTTCTGGCTTTTCATAGTAATTCTAAATATACTATAATTATGCATTATATTATGCTATTTCCAACCATGCCAAGGACACAGTCATACAAACTCGATTTCTTGCTGTAGGATGATCTCAATATTTTGCATCATTAAAACCCATATTAAATCGTCAACCTCATTCAAACTAACATCATCAGATAACTGAGACTATGAATTCTCCTAAACAATGTTAAAATGACATTCCCCCCAAAGGGAATACAGCCGTATGTTAATGATAATGGCAGGATTAGAATTTTTCACACAGTTCACCTGTTTGTAAACCTGGCAGTCAAATACATTTTCAAAGTACATTTTGGTCTTTCACAGTCAGAATCACTCAAGTTTTTATCACAAGTGACAAGTGTTTTTTTGCTCACTCCCTCAAGGACAGAATAAAAAAAACGGAGTGATTGAGGGTGCCTGTACGCCTTTTGTGTCCACCTTCTTATTTGCTCAAATTGTTTGGATAGGGTCAGCCGGGAATTACATCACCGGCATGGCTGCCCTGCACTGAGAGGAAATGAACTCACAGCTGAGGTTTGAGCCAAGAAACCCCTTTATGTGCAACATCCTCCTGTGAATCACTGCCTGTTGCTATTTGTGAAGAGTTTCCAATACAAAAAAGTAATGGAAGAGGCTATAGCTCTGGTACGAAACAACATACAAGTACATGGCAACAAGACAACAGCCTCCTCAAAATAACAGTTTGTATCAGTCTTAGCATTGATAGAGACCCCCAAGTGATGTCAAC